GCTGGGGAATTCTGGGAGTTGAAGTCCACACATCTTCAAGTCACCAGGGTTGAGGAACCCTGCCCTAAATGCATTGCAAAATCCTCTTTGACCTATGGCTTCTTGGCATCCAGTCTTAAGTCCTGCTTCTGCTACTTACATGTAGTCCTACAGCCAGGACTTCCTGAAGCAGTTTTACATCTTACACCAACAATAGTACCTCTCGCTGCACCTTTAAGAGCTTGGTGATACTTTGTCCACAGGGATCATTTGCTCGCCCAGTGGATTCCATTATTGGCAGAGTGTCCCCCGCTTACCCGGATGTATGAAGAGAATGCTCTTCTGCGCGATCGCATGATGGTCAACTCCCTCATCCGAGTCTTACAGACACTGCAGGACTTCAACATTGTCTTGGAAGGGTCACTCGTAAAGGGGGTGGATGTGTAACATCTAGCCTGCAGACAATTTTCTTTGTCTCCCCCTCTCACACTTCTCTCCTTTCCTTGGCAAATGAAATGCATCAAGTGGGGAGAGGGCAAATCTGTGAAAATGCAATTGCTGATGATCATGTCCTGCTCTGTGTTTAGATCAGCTTGTTGATAAATGGCAGGGGCTGTGAGAAGACTCCCACACGTGGAGTCTCCATACTGATCTGCCCCAACACTGCAAAGGAGCTAAGCTGCAGTATCATAGTTTTCAAATCAGAGGTTTTGTATAAAAGAGTATTTTCATGTGTCGATTGTGTGTAAATAGACTATCTTCCTTTAGAAACGCTAATTTTTTCTTAGAATCAGTGTTCTAGGGCAAGGGGTGGGGATGTAGCTTAAAACAACTTTGTAAGGGAAGGGAGGAAACATTATTTGCGCATATGGGGGAAAAACCACTTCATGTTGTAAATATTGTACAAATGTAGTGGGTGGTGGGGGGAGGCTGTGTTGCAAAGGTAGCCATTGCTGTGTTCCTCTTCTGAATGTACATTGTTTGCCGCTTCCCTGTATGTTTTGATCTCGTTATACCATTTAGATTCAATTTTTTTGTGTATGCACTGAATCATCTCTGAGTCATAGATTCTGGGTCTTCCTGATGGATCTTGTCATTCAGCTCAAGGGGTCTTTTTTTCCCACCCTGAGGAATCCCTGTTCCACAAACAGGAAGCTGTTTTAGAAATTTTGCTACTTGAGATGATAAAAATTGAAGAAAAACAGTATTATAATTGTGACTTAATTATGTTTTCAACTTTCTTTGGGGGGTTTTTCCCCCTCCTGCTATCATCTTCCCTGGGCTTTTGTGTCCTGTGCTGACACCGCTTCTTCCACGAGACTTTCTTGGAAGAGAAAAAAGAAAACTTTTGGAAGAAAAAGTGATGCTTTGCCATCAGCAATTTAGGCAGAATTCCTTTAAATGATTTCAGATAGTTAGACTGCAATCAAATGTCAACCTAAGCCATGCTTCATTTTAAACCCAGTGTGTGATATAATTAGCCTTGCAGATGTGCAAAACAGGTTTGTTTAACTTAGTTTATTTTCTTCCTGGATTTTGCTGTTCTTGCACTGTGCAGATTGATTAGATTTGGGCAAAAACAAACCAGGATTAAGCCAGGAAAACACATACCAGGCAGGCCTTTAACATTCTAAACCATAGTAAAAAACGATAAACTATACCCACTACCCTAAATTAACTCCCATTTAGCCCCTGACTCCACTTGCATGTCATGCCAACTCAAAAACAAACCGTAATGTATTTAAGCAATGTGTGAATTCAGCTCCGAAACCTGTGGCTATTCCCTCTCCCATATCTAGAAGAATGGGCAGTTTGTACATTGCTTTACTACATTGGAAGCCTTCCCTACTTGGTGATTTGCTCATGTTCTACTCACAGATTCCTCATATGAACAAGAACTTTGCAGCAAAATTGTAGATAAGATCCCTGGTTGTTATATAGAAACAGCTTTCCATGCAGAAAAGTAAAGACTAATTTTTGAAGCTGATAGTCAGATTACCTGTGTGGTTTGGGAACTAGTTCTCCGTTGCTCCTTCACACACCACTTGAAGAAGATAAGGAGCTTACGGTCACTGGGGAAGCAGTGTTTGTTCTAGCAACGGTTTGTTCCACAGAAAATGGAACTGCAAGGTAACTTCTCCCATGTAACACTGGTATCCACAGGATGCCCTGGGAGGCACATACAAGTGCATTCAATTCACCGCAAAGGGATTTGGTAACCAGAATGTGAAACTGGCATTTGAAGGCCAACATTTTCAAATCCATCAGGGGGTGGGAGTAAGAGAATCTCCACATAGCTTCTGCAGGAACAAAGCAAACTTCCAATTATTCCTAGCCATGAACTTTACCCCGCAGTGATGAGAAACTAGATACTGAAATACCACAAATGACCCCAGGTAGATCCCTCCACAATATTGATGCAAAGCACGTGTGTTGGAGGCTTGGAATTATTCTGTATTCATATTTCCAATGAGGTAACTAAGATGCAATCTTAATTAAAGCTGACAAGAAGGTTTTGTGTAGGAGTTACATCATTTTTCCTTAACTCAATATGCTTACCATACTTTTCAAAAATAAGCTTTTGAAACTTCAGCTCTTGGCTTTAACTTTCCAATAAGCATTGAGAACTATTGCAATTCGGCATCTAGTCCTCACCCCATTCGAAGAGACGGACTTCAGACTGTGATTCTATTTAACCTCCACTTTGGCTTTTTATCTTTCTGGACTTTTTCTGTATTTAATGCCTCAAAAATGGGGATCCAGATCCAAACAGAGAAGAGGAATAGAGAGGCTGTCGAATACCCAGAATTTTGCTTTTTTGCATGTTACAAAACTGCCCCAAAGCTGGATCCCAAAGCTTTTTTTCAATAGTATGGCATTAAATGAAAAGCCTAATGCTGTTTGGGTGGCTCCATTTGCTCCAGATGAACCAGGAGCGAGCTGGATTGCTGAACAGATTGTCTGTCTTGCTTAGCATCCGTTGGTCTTGTTTGTAGTTCCTTTTCTGCTGACCAGGGGCTTCTCTGATAACAGGAAATTGATGTGAATAATGTTAAATGCTTTATGCTTGAAAGTCACAGGTCTCTAACATCTCCACTAGTATGTAGCGCTAAATATCTTACCTGACAATGTTGTTTCTTTGTTTCACAGCATATGAATGGTGTGCAAGGAACATTATGTACAGTATGTTCTTTTTAGGCAATAAAGTACTGTATAACTGTGTAGTATTATTACAACCTCGAGGTATTTTTGAAGCATGGGATTGACCTCTAGTAGACTAGTCTATTTGATGACTTCAGGAGTGCAGTTTTGGTGACTTTTTTTCCTATAGCGTGCAACTTTTTTTTCCCTTTAAACAGACAGTGCTGATCACTTGGAAATGAGTGATTTGGTCTGTCAAACTTTCAGAAATTATAAAGAGTTAGTTCTCGGAATGGCGAGGGCCATGGCTTTCTAAAATTTAATGCATCCTATTGATATCAGTGTTAACCAGCTATTGTTGATTTTTAGAAGCTGAATATTTGAAACTACCAAAGCTTTCTGTTAACCTACAAAGTAAAAGGAAGAACTTTCTATGTTCTTATTAGTATTGCTATGCTAGCATAGTTTAAAAAAAAAAAATCACCCAAGAGGACAGAATACAATTGAGCAGTAGATTAATATGTAACCATAATGAAATTGTTTTAAATTGGAAACCTTGCCACTACAACCCATTTACTCAAAGGTTAAGTTTCACTGTGTTAAATGAGACTGACTTCTGAGTAAAGAAGTTTGGGTTTGTGCTGTTAATTGCCTCTTTGCTTCTGAATATGTTTTAAGAGTATGCTTGCAGATATTTCATTGATACCCCTTCCCCCAAGCAAAAGTGTCTATCACATAAGGAAATGTTGTGTGTTAAACTTGAAATGTACAAAATACCTGGTGTAGTTACTAAATAATTCCTTTTCCCTTGTTTCTTCAGAAGATGTTGCTATTTTATCTTTCACATTAGCAGATTAATCAGGATTGGATAATATTCAGGAAATGAATATTGGTTAAAAAGTATTGTTTTTTCAAGCACTTTAGCATACATATCACAGATTGAAGCGGGTTTGTTTTTCTCCAGGGTTTGGATTAAAACGAAATGCAGCTTTTCATGCAATGGTCTTTACAAATAAAACTGTGAGAATAGCAAAGTGTGTCCTGTGAGGTTTATTACCCTAAACAAAAAAGAAACCCGAAAAAGAATCGACAGATTTGCTGGGAATTTTGGAAGTCAATTTATTTATAAGATTTATAACCCACCTCACTCCAGAGCTCAAGGCAGCATACAATACCAACCCAGTATAAAACCTAATACATAAACATCTGGTCAGATTACAAAAAGGTTGGGAAGGCTGTTCTAGATTATTTGCTGTTGATCTGCTGAAGAGGTATTAAATATCATGCAATATATGTACAATTCATTTGAACGGGCCACAGTGATAATACAGAAATAACTGATGACATGTTAACTTTGGAAGAATTAAATAATGGATATGAACATTATTAAATGCCTGACATGTGCTGCAGGAAGCAGAATATTTAAAATCCTGAGTACCTTAATTTCAGACACTGCCTAAAGATACAGACTTATATGGGTGATATCCACATTGCGCTAAGCTGCAGTTTTTAACTATGGTTTATTATACAGCTAATAGGGCTCCAGCAGATACAAAATGGATGGATTCACATATCATGGTTGGCTACCGCCCACCACATCATGCATGAACCAAGCCATTGTTGTGATAATCCAATTTTACCATTTGCCATTTAAATACTGATGCTACATTAGGAGCATCGCCTGTCTCTGAAGGACATTTTCTAGTTTTATTTTTCCAAAGTTACCCGTTGCCAAGCTCCAGTTGCTGATGGCTGTGCTTCAGCTCGTAAAACAGGCCATGCACGTCCATTTGCCCTTAAACACAGAAGAGCTTTGAATGAGCTCTGTTTTCAAAGCTGACATATGACTGATGGGCGTTTTGCAGAGGATGATGCCCTCACAAAATGGGCAAGGTGATATTCAGCTGGACTGACTTTCACTCAGTCAAATACTTAGAAGGTCTCATTTGAGATACTGTGGGCAAGACGTAATGCAGAGCAAGCCCATTGTCAGGCTTTTGTTTAGTTATATTTATCTAATATATTTTAATCCTACCTTTAATGTTACTCTCACAACAAAGTTAGCTTCTTTTTTGTGGGAATCTTGTTTATTTTCCCAATTTTGCCAATAGGTCTAGAATTCCCAGGTGTCACCCAAGTACTAACAAGGCCAAATTTTACTTTGCTTCCAAGATTAGCCAAGGTTGGTTAAGTGCTAAAATCTCTGGGCCTGTTTTGGGATTACATCCAAAGGTAAACAAGTACAACTTTATTATTGCAGTGTAATCTACTGTCACTTTCCTCTCTTCTGCCCTACAGGCCCAAAAATGCTTCTGAGAACCTCCCTACCCTCCAGAGATCTGGAGACATTGCTGAATTCTAGTCCAATGCATCGGGATGCACAAACTGCTGACCATAGGGAGCCCCTCTCCCGCCCATTCAGAGTCCCCCAGAGCAGGCAGGACCAAGCCTTCTGCAGAATGTAAACCCTCCTTAAGTACCCTTTTCATTCATTAACCCAGCCAAAGTTCCCCAGAATTGACTCACTTCCTCCCATTTCGTATGTATGTGTGTATATTCTAAGGAGTAATCATTTCACCACCTTAAAATCCTCTTAACCCCAAAGCTTCCACCCTAAAAGGGATCCAGAATTTGGTCCACCCACTACAATAAGGAATCAAACTTTAAAAAAAAAAAGTTTAGACCCAGCCATAATTCATTTCTCTTCCAACATTAACCAATCAGAATCTCTCAGTGGCATTAAACCACTGAGGCTGGATTCCCCCATTACAATGCCATAAAGCCTAGTAAATGCAGCCATAGTTCTAAAGTCAAGATTTATGTCTTAGTGTGTCCATTCATTAAATCACAGTTAAGCAAACCATGGCTTAATGCTATGAGTGAGCATGGCCTAAATGTAATATTTGATGACCAAGAATGATCACAATGTTGCATACTTGAACAATAATAGAACAAAGGTTATTATTACAGATCATGGTCACTCATGTCTTAGTTACTTCCCAATACTTCCTATTATTGCAACACACTCTACGTAAGGCTGTTCTTGAAAAATACTCAGAAGTTCATCTGGTCCAGAATGCAGTGGCACTTGGAATTCTCGACACACGAAGGTTCACTTGTGTCACTGCTGTTCCACAAGCTATATCGGCTTCTCAGTGCAATTCAAGGTTATGTCCTTTAAGAACTTACATGACCTATAAGAGCCCCATGCCAGGTTACCTGCAGGATTACCCAACTCTGAGGATCTCTGCCTATCCCATCTGATCTGACTGGAAGGGCCCACTCCAAATCCCCCCTATCAAACAGTGTCATCTTGTGGGCCTTGGGCCTTCTGTGTTACAGCGCTTGGGATCCAGAAGGCCTCAACCCTCTTGATCTTCAGCAGTTCTGGCTTTTCCCCAGGCATTAGGGCTGAGATGTTAGGGGAGCCCAAAATACATGTGTTTTGGACTGTGAGTTGTTATGCAGTGCTAGGATTATTTTAATCATATCTTTGGTTTGTTCTATATTAAATTTCTCTTGGTTGTTAGCCACCCACAGTAATTTATGTAAGCTGGGCAATTATATAAAATGTCTAAATAATAATATAAGAAAAACTGTACTAATGCATATGTTAACATATGTTCACTACAGTCCCAAACATGCATAGCCTAATTTAAAAAAAAGACAAATGGCTATTCACACAAAAATGCATATTTGGTGGAGATCGCAGACCATCCTAGTGCTTATACTTATGTGCTAACGTACTGTTACCAAACTTTACAAATACAGATGGAAACACTCTGTGTTGTAATGCTGTATGTTGAAGGTTTATTAATGTGGTGCCTGTGAACAGCGCAGCATCTCAGGTGATTTTGTTTTCAATGGGAGCTGCAGTTCAATGTATCTAAAGTATCTGAACTCAACTGGAAGGGGATGTATCTTTTAATATAGATTCTCCACTTATGCACATGATGATATTGTGTATAGCTTGACAGAGATATAAAAAGCAGACTTCCACCATCAACAAAGGCATCAGCTGTCCTTTTATAAATGTAGAAAATAGGTGTTTTGGGTGGCTGGGTGTCCTCTGCCAAAATATGGCTATATTTATTATCCAGGCTTACAGTACAATTTCCTTAGTCACTCAAAACCGCTACTGCAATTTTGGATTGTAAACAAGAAAATTACACATTAAAGGAAATACAATGATGAGAAGCACATGTGAAAATAAAGCAACAACTGAATGCTTACTGAATCAGATGTGGTCTCTAGTTGCTTTGGTGGAATTGAAAGTCAAAAGACAAAACAATTGACAGTTAAAGCAGAGCATTTTGTTCTGCATAGTGACATCGACCAATCCCAAGTTATGGCAATTTGAAAGACAAGCGTGTCACATTTGCAGTTCTCACAAGTACAGTGGAACCTCGGTTTACGAACTTAATTCGTTGCGTGACTCTGGTCGCGCCCCGAATTGGTCGCAACCCAAAGCAAATTTCCTCATAAGGTTCAATGTAATTACCGTTAATCTGTTCTGGCGTGGA